AGCTCTCGGATGCATTTGCGGTTAATGGGTCTCTCCTTTGCATTTCCACCCCAGATGCTGAACCTCATTTTAATGCACTTGGTCAAGCTCAAAACTGGACTTCCCTCATGAACAGGAAAGAAAACTGAAAAACTGGAGATGAAGTAATTAAATTACAAGTAAAATACCACTTTGTACTAAGCTAAAGGTCTTCAAAACTTTGCAAAACATGCACATTTTCTTCACAGCTGTTTGAAAATGTTGATTAAATAGTGATTGTAACATCTCCTCTCATCACTGGTAGTTTATAAAAAGAGTTATTAACACTGAGCAGAACTGCAATAGCAAAATCAATAGATATACTTCCATTTTTAGATTGCGTTGGATTGTAAATGTAATAAAATACTTATTACAATTACAATTACAATACTTAATACTTAAAAATATTAAGGGAGGTCCCAACACCATAAGGCATTTTATGACATTTGATTTCACACATTTGACAAGCTGCAAAGAATTTCTAGCAGCACTCAACATCAACCATCACATCTTAAGCTTAACTATGTTTCTAATGTCTGTCATTTGGAAACTAGTGCCATCAGCAGACTATAAACTCTTGTTAATTGACCAATCAGCATGCATTATCAGAATTCCAGCTTTATACCGGCAGCATTCGCTTTCTGGTAAGTATAATGAAAGGAAATGAGTAAAATAACCCAATAAGAGAATTTTAATCCGTGAATACTAATACTAGAAGCTGGTGTAGAGTCATTTAAGCAGTTTAGCTCCATTCATTCCAACTGACAGAGCCTTAGCTCGCAAGTATTCTCTGCTGCCTCTGACTGATGGTTAATAGGATTAACAGGAAGTGAAATGGCTTCCTGAGTTTTTAGCTGTACCATAATGTATGCTTACCTAACACTTCCTGAAAACAGTGAAAAATAGTTAATGCATGTAACTGTTCACAGCAGGGTTTGGAGACTTTTTCTTTCTTTTTCTCAGAAGCTAGTGAGTGAGTTCTGGAAAGTGACATTTCTTTCTCATTTTTTTTCAAATTTCTTCTTCATTTTCTTCCAGGAGTATCAGGTAAGTGTCAGCAACAAAATACGGCAACTTAGACTAAGACACCAAAACATTGTTGATGTGTAAAGTAGCACTTTGAGCAAGAGAAGGAAATATGTGACTTTGATCTTAGGTGAAATTCAATAACACTGAAAACAGAGAAGTCATTTTTTCCATGTAAGACCTAGAAGTTAAAAGCATCATTGTTAGTAAAACCTACTCTCCAAGAAAGGCAAATCATTTAATCTCAT